TCTGATACCAATTGTTAGCGGAAACGTAAAAGAAAGAACACAAGATTTAACGTGGTTCGGATCATTATAATCCTACGTCCACCAGAGAACAGTTGCCTTTTTAATATTAACAAAGGAAGGGGAGATTTCCCAATTACGCTTAAGAGAATTTCTCTTAACTCTCTACTCACTACAATGTATTGTATTATTTTTTTGGGATGGCTTCTAGACATCAAACTACCTCCTCTTGATGTCATGGGTGACATCAAAGGAGGAAGCTTCCTCCTAGCATCCACACCAACTCTTCCAATTGGCATGCCATTGTTGACTAAACATAAACCAACACTTTCAATTTCTATATTATGCTTTTTACGATTTTGAATTACCATAATTGAAGATGTAGTTATTTGCTAAAATCTGCTCTCACGATGAGCAGATTCACAAAGCTCTGCACTGCTCTAATGGCAGAAGCTTCTAGAGCACAGAAATGAAGAAGCAAGCATTGCAAAATGATTCTCTATCTCTTCTCTGGGGATACAGGGGAGTATTTATACAAGCCTAACTGCACTAACCATTAACTTATGAGCTGGATATGAGCTGGCATTAACCACTAACTGCTCTAACTAACTATAACTAACTAGAGTTCACAAGATTATTGCTAGGCTAACTCGAACAGCCAAACACTGACACTGCCCCCAAAAGTATTAAATATAGACTCTGAGCCCTCTGCTAGCATCATTCCATTTAGTCAGGTAATTATTCTCTTGTTAACCTAGCAGTCTGACCAGAACTGATATTCGTGATGGTAGACGGTGCTTTTGATAGAGCACTAAACTCATTCTGAGCAACCAGTATTGAGAATGATGCTAGCATTATATATATTTCCTGGCCTATTTGGTTTCAGATTCACCTTTTGTTGAAGTAGTGACAAACAGTCCTCCCTTCTGTTACCACTAGAAATATTCTGTCATTTAAAAAGCTTTTCTCGTGGTGGGGGTGGTAGGGGAAAGTGAATATGGAGCAGAGGAGGCCAGGAGGCCTAAGCTGCGAGTCATGACCTACCTAGGCTGCAAATTTTGTGCTCCTAGTATCTGATGCCAGCGGCATTAAATTCCGAGTAGTCTTTTGCACACAAATACTATTCTTCATGACATTTGAAATTAACATGCTCAAGATTTCCAGGTTGTGACCTAACCTCTTATGGATTTTGGAACGGGAGGGACGGGAAAGCTAATTTTCCATGCTTCCAATAAACTCAACTTCTGTGTTCCAAAGTTGTTTCCTGGAAAACTGAACTTTCAAGTAAGCTGAATATATATTAAAAATATGCATAAGATGGTACCTCTTCTAATAACATTGATCTTTGGAGAACAATTTGCAGTACAGACATATTAATTAGTTATAGAAGACATAAGTTCCTGTAGTCGTGTAGTCTTGCACTGATGGGGAGAAAAACTTCCCAATTATTCAGTCATAAAAGATAAATTTTTCTGTAGTCTTGTAGTATACGTTGTCAGGCGCATGTCACGAGTTCATATCCTATTGCGGACATAAGCCTAATATTTAAATAGAGAAAGGTGGATGGCCAATTCGTTATCCCCCGAGTAGCAAACTGTGCGCCAGCTAACCCTTGGGGATTTCTCAGTTATAAAAGAAGAGAATCTTGAACCTAACACTCATATGTCCTTGCAGTTGACAAGATTGTCTTAGTTTACATTCCAGGATACATTGAAGATCTAAAATGAGTGTAGTCATTCAGCTCCATTCAGGAGGTGTGGAGCATACACCAATATAGAGTGTACCGTATATTATATAATGATCGTGCAAGAACTGCATGTTTCTGTCACAACCTAGAAGAGATGGCAGGAGTCAAACTTGTGATCATTTCCTAGCTCGGGAGTAATACAACGTAATATATGCCATAGATTGGACATAAATCCATTTATGTTTCTCTTGTAAGATATGATTATTATACTGCTTCATCTGCCAAAATGTTAAAATCGCTGATGGTTGGTTCCATCCTGATGTAGGAATATCTCCATTTCTTTTGTGATCCACCTATGTACCACGTTTCAATCAGTTCAAGTACCATCATGCTGGACGAGAACTTTACAGCTAAAGTAAGAGTTGCAAACTTAAGCCTACGTATAGTAGAATTGCTTCATCGTCATATTTGATGTCCACTTCAGACCTGCATCATCTTTTGTTAAACTAGTCAACAGTCGTCAAATCAATGACGGTATGTATGATTCCTTGTTACAGCTCTGTGATGTTAGCCTTCTTTGTTCAATTGAGAACAACATTCAACCGCCAAAATCTAAATGCTCCAAAGGTATGATGTCTTCTGGTATCACCTCAGAGCATACAAGCTGTAGCCTCTCTTCAGTTCTTGCATTGCTTATCTTGCAGAATGTAGAGATGAGATTTGCAAACATACAATCTACCAGCTTGGTTTGTTGATTCTTGAGTTAGTCACGGGTCAATCCTCGGAGGATGGAGGTGTTGACTTAGTTCAGTGGGTCCAAGATTCTCGTCTCCGGAGAAGGTCCATTCACCAGATGATTGATCCAGATCTAGGAGACAGCTATGATTTTAGAGAGCTCAAAGGTCTTTTGGCAGTTGCAAAGATGTGTGTCCAATCCATTCACAAGCCAACAATAAAGACCCCTCAAATTTTGTGGTTTCTACAAAAGAAACTGGGCATCAGCCAAGGAGTTCCCCAATGACTGGACATTTGCTGTGATTGCCAACACTAACATCTCCTGCGTCAAGTAGCAAACGAATCGCACTCATTTTTATTTGAGCAATTTATTAAAATTAGCAGTATACATCATTGCTTCTGTAAGTACACACAAGATTTTTTTTGTAATTAGTCTTGGGAATTTTCTAGAATTCATTAGCCCCATAAGCTTTAGCCTTGCATGTAAGTCTATTTACTCAGTTTGTAAAAGCAGAAACAAGACACATTGTGCAAAATCAGAAGTGTGTTGATTTCTTTTTCCCTTTTCTTTTGCCTGCGAACTATAGATTGAATTCCATCCAACTCTGCAACTAGCTAAGCTGTCCAAGATTCACAGTTGAACTTCAACCATGACTAAATCAATGTTCTCAAGGATTCAGGCAAAACAGGTTAAGGTTTTTCATTTGATGTTAAACATTATGCAATGAGATCAACTCAATAAATTGGAAGAGAAGGAAACATGATATGTATTTCTATTTCAATTCAATAGAGCGACTAGCAGAGTACATTGCTTTTCCAAAACCACCAAAAAACAGATGCAACAAACCAAGCCAGAACCAAAGTTCAAGCTGGTTATTTCTTGCCCTCCACTATATCTTATCCGCTATTTCACAAAAACCTCTTTATAGAAATATGTTACTGCTGTGCACATTGTACCCTCTGTCCTCCACCACCATGCATCTCATCATCCTCATCATATGCCTCTTGTTGAGCTGCTTGTTTCCTTCTCATTTCCTCCTCAATATTCACATCATGTAATGAAGTCTCCTCACACTCGTCCAATTCCATGTCTGTGTACTGTGATTGAGGTCTTGGTGGTAAAATTGCCTCGAGAGCCTTAACCTGTTCTGGGCTCAACGAATCTGGGAATTCAACGACGAAATGAATGTACAATTTACCCCGCATGAATGGCCTCTGATACATTGGCATTCCCTCATCATTGATTGCCTTGAATTGATCTGCAGCAGTCGGAACCAAGAACGAAGAACCAAAGTAAATAAGAATATTTCAAACAAGCAAAACGCAGATTCAAGATTTAAACTTCATGGCTTCATTACGGGTTTTTCACATGTATATCTACGTTCCGATATCAAAAATACTAGGTAAAAATCAAGGTAATACTAACCAGGTTTAACAACTTCCCCGGGATTTGATTTTATGAGGAGTTGTCTGCCATCCAAGTGTGTTAATATGAACTGGAAGCCGCATAAAGCCTCAGTTAGACTCAATGTGTGATCTACAAACAGATCATCGCCCTTTCTCTTGAACCTTGGGTGGTCTTTCTGTTGGAGCACAAAAACTATATCTCCAGTAACTGTATCAGGCTGCAACAATATATAACCAAGTAAGCAACTACCTTAGGCTTCGGTAAGATTGACATATACAAATACAAGAGGGAAAATATGTCATCTTACCGCCTCATCAGCCTCTCCGGGGAATGTAATTTTCTGTCCATTTTGCATGCCTTTTTCAACATGAACTTCTAGGACTTTCTTCTCCTGAACCACTTTTTCACCTTTGCATTGAGGGCACCGATCCTTATCGTCAATAGCCTCTCCAGTACCCTTGCATTCATTACAAGGGTGCTGCATTTGCTGGATCATTGACGGGCCAAGTTGTCTAATTGAAACCTTCATACCACTACCTTTACAACCAGAACACTTCATTGAAGCACCAGACTTTGATCCTTTCCTGCAGTAACAGAAACAAACCAATACAATATAAGTAATGATTTGTAAACTCAAATTTGTGAAAAGATTTACCCCTTCTCATTTCTCATGACACTTCTTCCTATCCTATTTTTAGTCTTTTCCACAACAAATAACACATAGATATTTGAAGACTCTTTAACCTTAAACTTTCAATTTAACCCTTAACAACATCCTTTTATAGTCATGAATGTCACAACATATTTGCAACTACAAATTCCATTAGTATATTTTACCCTTAATGACATGTTATTAAGAGGGCAGTCCGGTGCACTAAGCTCCTACTACTGCATTTCTACAAGAGGTTATTTTCATGGATCAAACCTGTGACCTCCGGCTCCCCGTCCTTAATGACGCATGATACATACCAAACACTTGATTTTGTCCTAAAGACAATACGTGCATATAAAATAAAAGCGAGAGAGTAACAAACAACAAATACTGACCCACTGCACTTGGAGCAAATTACATTGCGCGAAAGGGACAATTTCTTGGTTATCCCACTGTAAAGGTCCTCGAGAGAGACCTTCAGTGGATGCACTACATCCTCACCCCTTCTCTGTCTTCTTCCTCTGCTGCTACCACCACCTGCTCAGCAACAACACTTGTGTTATTCAACTTACCAGGACACAAAAGATGCAGAAACTAAATTCAGTAAGAGAACTTGATGACATATTTAACAAGCATCAAACAAACGCCACAAGATCTAACCTCCAAACGGATTGCCACCAAAGAAAGATTCAAAGATGTCAAATGGATCATGCATTCCGCCGCCGCCACCCATTCCTTCTTTCAGTGCATCTTCTCCATACTGATCATAAATCTCACGCTTCTGTGAGTCACTCAAAACCTCATAAGCTTGAGCAAGCTCCTTAAACTGCAGGAAAAGAACAACTATCAGATGATTTAGATCATATTCACACTGTCAAAGAACAAATAACACTAGCAAAAGAAGACTAACATCAAGAACAGATGGAAACGCTGATCGTAATTACCAAGAATTACTGGTCTATAAGCATAGAAAACCAACAACTTGGGAATAGGTAAGTCTAAAATACCATCCTGAGAAGTACTTAAACACATTGAATCGAGTTTCCATCCAACCTTTTTGACTTAAGGGGTTCATAATTCTAGCTCAAAATCTCGAGGTAAACTTGTACATAGGCAACACGAACACACAATTAAATATGATTTTGTTCCAAAGTTACAAAAATTCTCTTAAAAATGATTCTTTACAGCTTCAGTGATGCCCCTACAAATACCACTAAGCAAGAACAGTGGTTGCAAAAGCTTTAGGCAGACCCATCTCTGAAGCTTCAACTAAACCAGGCCAACTTCACCAACCCATCCCNATCCTTCCAATTTTAGGTGCAAGCTAACACAAACACCACGTCATATAGAAAAGAAAAGAATTCTCTACACAAATAAGAATGCATCAACTCTAAGAAGAACCTCAGCAAGAAACATTCACAAGCCAAAAACTCCAACTTTAGCCATCCTAATTTCTAGTTTAAACGAACATAACAGCACAACAACAACTAAAAACCACCTACAACACATACAAAAGAAATGTATGAAACAAGGATATAATAGCAGGAGATGGTGAAAAAAATAAGGGGTTACCTTTTCAGGGTCACCACCCTTATCAGGGTGATTCTTCATAGCAGCTTTTCTATAAGCTTTCTTGATTTCATCATCTGATGCATTCTTTGACACACCCAATATTTCATAGTACCTCGTATTATCACTCTTCTTTGGTCCTCTCCCAAACATCTTCGTTTACTTCTTTGTAACAATAATAAAACCAATTAATTACTCCAAGAATTATTCAAAAGGGGTATATATAGACTAATTTGACGGTTCAGATTAAATCTTAATACAGGATCGGAATGGGAAACTGGCCGTAGGATGTTGAGAATATGGAGAAGCCTCTAGAATTCTCTGGGTACTTCCCTATTAATTTCCAATGAAGATTTTCGTTTTTGGCAGTGAGTGGGTATTTGCGTGTGTGCGTGGGGTGGAAAGTGAACCGTTGGATTTGAGAATTGACGGTGGGGATCGGGGTTCTAGATTGTTCCATTTCGGGAGACCAGCTTCCTAGTACATTCTCCCCAAAAAAATTAAGAGGACGGGGAAAAAATTGAATTATTATAAGAACGCGATCGTGCAGTTAAAGGAAATTACACTGAAACCCCCTATATTTTTTACTCTCTTGCAACTTAACCGTCCTATGTTTCTATTCTTTTTGGGAATATGAAATTGTTTTTTTTAAGTGGTTGTGGCAATTCGACCCTCATTTTGAGTAGTAGTGATCCAAATTGTTTTTTGAGAATGCATATTGATTGATATTACTGTTCATTACTTGTTTTAATGGTTTGGAGTCAGACCTAAGGGGTTTTGACACATAGGGACAAGTTTGGGCGATAAAACTATTCTATCAATTTTGCTGGTGCAATCGTTGTGGCGCCCATTTTTCTTTCGAAAGCGGATTTCGACATGTAACAACTCTTTTAAATAGGTACTAAAGAGAAGAATCCCCACCTAATAATTTTTAAGGTGGGCTAGAGTATCTATTTGGCAAAAATTGCATGGGGCGCTCTATTGGTCGCCCTCATTTAACTTATACCCATTTTTTTAAAAGTTTTAACTTGTACCCACTTTTTAAATAACTCCAACCCCATTTCTCCTCCTTCTCCTCCTCAAAGTTATCCGCCCTCATTTATCTTCCTGTGATTATATCCGCCACAATTAATGCTTAAAGGACAATACTGGTCACATACGATCAGGATGGATATTTTGGTTAAAACAATAAATTCAAATCGACATTTTATTCTAATAATTAAAATTGTCAAGATGATATGCGATACTATTTGACCTCTGACTGATCCATGTCTTTGCGATATGAATTTGATTATTGTATGTCCTTTAAAAGACCACCTGAAATAAAACAAGAAGATTTGAGCCTCATATTGTAGGCCTAGCAGGTACACAATGACCAACTGAATCCAAGGGGGTTAAGAAGGTACCAGATTCTGTCTGCGGTTTCATTGACGAGTGTGATACAAGTTTGGTATCACTTTATCATTTACGGTAACTTTTCAACAGTTGATCACCTACTGGAGCTGAAGTTCGACAATTACAAAACAAAAACTTCAGCTCTAGAGCTGAAGTTCCCCAGTTACAAAAACAAAAACTTCAGCTCTAGAGCTGAAGTTCGACAGTTACAAAACAAAGAGCTGAAGTTCGCTAGTTATAAAACAAAAACTTCAGCTCTAAAGCTGAAGTTTCCCAGTTACAAAAACAAAAACATCAGCTCTAGAGCTGAAGTTCGCTAGTTACAAAACAAAAACTTCAGCACACTTCAGTCCCGTCTACTAGAATGCTGAAGTTTTGTGTGATTGCCTTTGCTACTTCAGCCCCGTATGTTAAAGTTACGCTAAAAAGTGGGTACGCTTGCAAATATTTTTGCAAAACGGGCACAAGTTAAAACGTGACCCAAAATGCGGGTATAGATGCAAATACCCCATCTATTTGCAAATACCCCATCTATTTGC